AACACATAATATCTAGGATGGAATTGTCCTTGTATGAAAGCCTTCACATGAGTAGTGGGCAGTATGGTGTTTGTGGAGGACGTTGGCAGGGCTCTTGTACATGTTCATGACGCTAACTATAACCTGCAATGTCATTGGAGGGAAGGCCATTGGTGTCTCCTGAGTAGTGGGAGTTATAACTATTTGTGGAAGCAGGAGCTTGCCTGTAACCACACACACATACCTATTTTCACTTTTATTATGTGTATATAGAAAATATAGGTATGATGTATTTTCATTTTTTTTTTTTGTGAAAATGCTGTTCTATATTATTGTATTGCAGTATTTGTAAATTGAGTTGTATCATATGCTGAAACAATAAAATGGCTTGTATCTGGATGTGGATCATAATCATACATCAGTAAGGTTTCCACGCTTACTTCATGACAATTTAATGTAATGAATGTTAAATTCTTTTCAAACAGAGCGAGTACATGACAAAGAAATTAGATTGAAGCCTAACACACAAGCTTTCCATTTGCAAACTATTCTTGCTCGTTTTGGTTCTCTTGCCACATCAACCTCCTGTGTGTAGTCTGAATTAAGACATCATAAAAATGGCTATAACTTACAAGGTTTCTCCATGCGATTGTCATCTATTGTGCAGTAAATTGTACTGCAGTATTTCAAAACTTTCCCTTAAGGATTCTCTGTGGCAGTTGAAGTATTTCTTAATGTATAATTTAAAAGTGGGCCCTAATGAAACAATACCTTTGATTTGTCCATTTAGTGGGTCACAAAAATTTGGAAACGATTGTAATTCATTGAAACGTGGAAGGTATTTTGTGCCGACTTATGTTCAAGATGCCCAGAAACGCATTTACAAAATAATAACCAAAATAATGTAGCACTCACTACACAGTGAAACCTTTGTATTAGCCTGTATTGCAGAGATGGGTTGGTGCATGTCTGGTTCCAAAACAAAGAGATTCCTGAAATTCCTAAAGGCATACTAGACAAGGATTATCTAGCATCTAAGTACTTAGATATTATCTTTCCCTAGATCAAAATAACCGAAGGAATGATTCGTGTCAGAAGCCAGTTGCATAGTTGACAAAGGATGATACCCCACAGTCAAAAGAATAGTTATTGAATTGTGGCAGGCTATTTCCTGAAATAGAAGTAGGTTGTAATGTTAAAAAGCTGGTCCAGAGGAAAGTCCAACTGAATTCAATACAGGTTAGGTTCTGGCAAGTGTGTTTAAGCTGGTTGTTGTTGTTCATTCATTCAGTCGCCTCCGACTCTTCGTGACCTCATGGACCAGCCCACGCCAGAGCTCCCTGTCGGCCGTCACCACCCCCAGCTCCTTCAAGGTCAGTCCAGTCACTTCAAGGATGCCATCCATCCATCTTGCCCTTGGTCGGCCCCGCTTCCTTTTGCCTTCCACTTTCCCCAGCATAATTGTCTTCTCTAGGCTTTAAGCTGGTAACAGAATGATATTCCTTTTTGCTGTTAAAAAAAAAGTATGTAACCCGTGCCCATATTTTTTTAAAGCAGAGCAGTGCAAAGTATCACATCTAACAATTACTAAGCTTGTGCATTGGAGGTGAATCGCTATCAATTTCTGCTTGCTTCCTTCGTAAGCTCCCCATATTCGTTTTCAGGCGTCTCCCGAAAACAGGTGCACTGCTAAATGGAGTTTTCATTGAGCATCCAAAAAAAATTGTTCTTTTTGGCCAATTGGCAGCAACGGCATTAAGAAAGCACCCATTATGGGGAGGGACTTCCCACAGGCTTCCCTTCCATATCCTTCATTGAGATCTGGATTTAAAAAAGCATCAGTTATCACTCTTTCTGGATCCTTTCCCTTTGTAGAGGAGGAGACGGGGTTAATGCTTCTTAAAGCTGCTCTACTCTAGAGGAGAGGCAGGACGCGGCTTGGCTTTGAGGCTCCTGCAGCACCGAGCCTCAATCTCCCCGAGAGAGAGAGGCTGAGGAAGGGGGCGGGGAGCTCCTTGGCCCTTGGCTGTATGCGCTTAGCCTTGGTCCGCCCTCCATCCACCGTGGTAGTGGTGGTGGTGGTGGAGGAGGAGGAGGGACCTGGGATGGTTTAAGATGCCCCTCTTTCTAGATTCTTGTTAGATATTCCTTATCTTCGGAAGAGGAAGGGGAGCAGGGAAGTGCTCAGGAATTGGAGGGAGAAGAAGAATCAGATGATGAGGGTTTGAAAGCACCCACATTTCTAGAGAGACAAAAGAGACAGAACACAAATGGCGTTCAGCCAGAATAGCTGTTAAAAACACTGAGCCAATTGGGAGATGCCCTCGCACCTCCTGCGTGGGGAATTCAGGGCTATAAATCAGAGGCAGGAGCAGTCAGCTTTCGCTGGTAACAACAACCCTGATACTGATGTTTTCACTCCAATGGAATCTGCTTTGTGTCTGCTGCTAAGGACTTAGTTCATTGCTGGCTGTCTGATGGAAGACTGGTGTTTCTTTTGGGTCTTTGTAAGAGACTTAAATTTGTGTCTGGATTAAGACTTCCTTGTTTTCTTTTGCACTTTTCAATTGCATTTGCTTATCCTTTGTGTTTGCTGAAGTAAAGCATTTTTCTTTTACTTGCAACATTGTCCAAAGGCTGTTTTTGAAGGGCAACTCAGGACAATCCTTTACTTTTTGTTTGTAGAGGAGACTGGGTTTAATGCTTCTTAAAGCTGTTTCTGCTCTAGAGAAGAAGCAGGTGCACCTGCTTTCTCTCAACAGCACCAGAAGCCACACAGCTTTCCAAGACGCATTTTAAGGAGGCCCAGGGAAGGAAGAGCTCAGTCAAGCTAGGACTGTCATATTGTCACGAAAGCAGAGAGGGAGCCAGTAATCAGCTCCTGTTTGCTTTCACGTCAAGCTGATTTTTGTACCGAAAGAGAGCTTCCCGTTATGTGCTCCCGAAGGGAACAAAAGGAACGAAAGAACGAATGAAACGGGATAAACAAATTCCATGCACAATTCTAACAATTACATCTGTGATATTGATTAAAAGGATATAAAGAATGTAATTTATTATTGCATAACTTGCTCATGCATGCTGCTCATTGAGTAGTATGAAGTGGACAACTTGTTGCTTTTGAGATCTTTGTGGACTGCCCAGTTTTTATGAGTTTGAACCAATGTAGCCAAGTGTGAGGGAAAAATGAGAATGACAAACCCGTTACACCTATGGAGATTTATAATTTACACTACTGATCTAATAAGAGGAGTAATGCTAGAATTTAGCTTATTTGAGTGCTGTTAAGTGTTACCAAGTTCAGTAAGGAAGTGGTATATGTGCTTAGAAGTTCTTCCATTGAATTGAACTTGGTTTAGCTGTTTGCTTTGCGTTGGATAACAATCCTCCCCATTAGAAGAGTGGTTTATTAATAACCATGAATTCATCTGCTTCAACTGTATTTGACAATTTGAAGGGTTCTGTGTTTACAAACGTATTATATATTTAGGAGAAAGACACAATCCCAGTAAATTTATCTTTATAAAGCTGATAACATTCTAGGTAGCGCAATAGGAGGAAATGTAAACAGAAACCATGGTGAGTCATAATGTAGAGTTGTGTCTTCTTTGCCACTTTGACTGTACAATGGTCAGCTAAGCTGGTATCAGCTGAACAGGAAGGAAGCCTTTGAAGGCCAAAAGTGATATAGTATAACCACAGTTGACTGTCATTTCCTTTGCACTGAAACTTGGATGGGCCAAAGAAATATAGACATCAGGAAGTGAAGCTCTCATTATATGGCAGCGGTCAGTCAACACCTGGAAGTGCAGCATGACGTTTTAAATTACTTTCCTGAATGAAATATTATCACCTTATTTATTTGCACACTATGTATTCAAGGATGCAAAACACATAGATGTTCATCACTTTTTACAGACATTTCTCACAGGCAAGGTCTTTCTTGACAATCTGCACTTTACTGAAGATGGTCTCCCGTGAGAAGGGATATAGTTTACTGGGCTAAGATTGATATGTTAGTCCAAAAATGTTAATCGGTTTTGTAATGTTACCATCATGGGCATTATGGATAAAGAACTTATACACTTGCAAAGAGGGCAGGACTAAGAGCAGGGCTTCCTCGGATGATCTTAAATTCCGAGGTGGGACATAGCGGGAGATACGTTCAGACAGGTAAGTTGGGCCAGAATCGTATAGGACTTTATAGGCCAAGACCAGCACTTTGAATTATGCTCAGAAGTGGACTGACAGCCAGTGGAGCTAACATAGCAGAGGGGTGATATGTTCCCTGTGTGTCACACCAGTTAGTAGTCCAATTAGTTAGATAGTAAATATGGATTGCTTCTTCAGTATAGAGCAGCAGCAAGGCTATTCTTAATTCTAGCTTGGACAATGGAAGCATGGATTACAATTGCTGAGTTGTATCAATCTGCAAAATTAATGTGGATTTTGAAGAACAAACCAAATAAATTTTTTGAGAATTTTTTGTTTTGAGATTTTTAAGCAAGATGAAATCTAATGATGAAACTATCTTTTCCCCCCTCCTTTGTTGAATGCATATTATGTTGATTATTTTTTAACTAGCAATCTATTATACAATCAATAAAAGAGGTTGTAATAGCATCTGATATTGCTTTTTTTCAGAAATATTAAACTTCCTTAAATTTGCTTAGTAGGGGTGTGCGAAATGGTAGAAATCTGTTCTGTTTTTGTTTCATATTTTGGATGTGCCTTCCCCTCCCCCTCCCCCCGGTTCTGAGTTTGGGAAGATTCTTCCCGAAATGGAAACAGAATCCGGATCCCGAATTATGAATCCAGACAGTCCTCCTTCTATTCTCCCAGAATCTTCCAGAAAACAGAACAGGGGGGTACACGTAAACAGAACGGATTTCTGCTGTATTGCACACCCCTATAGTAAATGAGACTCATCAACAGAGCACAGATACTGCTAATATGACCGTGAAATACGAATTGATATGTCATCGAATAGCTAAAGATATTTTTGTGTGTGTTTCTTTCAGATTACTCCAGGAAGCAAAGCTTCACAAGCCAATTTATGTCCTGGTGACATCATTATAGCTATCGATGGCTATAGCACAGAGAACATGACTCACAATGATGCACAGGAGAGAATTAAAGCAGCTTCGCATCAGTTAAGTTTGAAGATTGAAAGGTATGATTTCACAATACAGTAAGACCCCTGTAACCATGGAGGATATGTTCCCGGTTAGACCACATTTGGGTGGGACTTCGGAATTGTCAAACACCACTAGATTGTCTCACTTCTAGATCCAGCATACCGTAGAGTCACATTGGGGGGAGGGGGCATAGAAATTCTCAGAAAAGAATAATTTCTAGGTAGTTGCTAAACCATCCAAAGCAAGTCTATGGTGACCTCTGGAGTATACCATAATCTGGAGGACCTAACAGATTCCTAGAGAAATTATTTTCCCACCTCACCCCAAGTGTGGGTAAATGAAGCCACAGATATGGGATCTGTGGTTACACTGGGCTTTTGTGTTTCACTATAGGTTCCCTTTTATCATGTACTCATGTTCACTGTCATACAGATAATATAGCAGAGTGGGAGATGTAGCCTATTTATTTATTTATTTATTTACAGTATTTATATTCTGCCCTTCTCACCCCGCAGGCGACTCAGGGCGGATTACAGTGCCCATATACATGGCAGACATTCAATGTCATAGACACACAACATATATAGGCAAACGCAGAGGCAATTTAAGCTTCATGAGGGTATGCTCGAATTCCGGCCACCAAGAGGAGCTGCCACTTCACAGTCCACTTGTGACACCTAGTCCTTGGTGGAGTACTTCCTCATTCTTTCGCCCGCTGCTGGAGATTTTTTTATGGCGTGGTAAATTAGTTGAATTAGCCTCCCCACATAAGCAGCACCTAAATTTCCTACTTGAGAGATTCAACTTTCTTTCGAGCTGCAAAGGTTGACAGCAAGCTAAACTCTGACCCGGGCTTGCTTCGAACTCATGACATTTTGGTGATTTCATGCAGCTGACTCCTAGCCAACTGCGCCACAGCCCGGTAGTCTATTCATATTCACTACTCCTACAATATATACTTCTTGATCCTGGAGATAATAAGGACATGAAGGGTAAAACGGGTATAGAATTTCAATCTAAATCTTTAAAGTCTTTGCTTTTTAAAAAAAAAACATATTTTGTTAAAAGTATAGGAAATATTTTTTATTTCAGGATTGTAAAAAATACTGAATACATTTTTCATTCTTGACCTACAGAGGAGAAACAAAATTGTGGTCTCCACAGATATCAGAAGATGGCAAACCACATCCATTCAAAATAAACCTGGAAGCTGAACCACAGGTAGCAAGTTCGCCAAATAACTGGCTTAATCATTATATTCCTTACGTACTTATCAGTGTCTGGTACTAACTGTTTGAGGTAACAATAAATCATTTGTGTCAACTGTCAAGATGCAACAATTCCAAGATATTTTGGATTAAGGCCCACTAGAAACTAACATACTCTTTTAACAATTAAGCATTCACTTTAACAACTCAAAGTTAAAACCACAAGACAAGGATTTGAGCACAGGCCGACATGGAGAAGATCAATTTATTTTAAATGTAGTGATAGAGATCAATTCTAGAGATACTATGCTTTGCCAAAATCACAAATAAATCGGTGTCACAGCAAATCAAGCCTGGCCTCTCCCCAGAAACTAGAATAACTAAACTGAAGCCACTGTGCTTTGGGCATTTCATAAGATAACAAAAGTCATTAGAAAATATGATCATGCTTGTTAAAGTAGAAGACAGTAGGAAAAGAGAGAGGTCATATTAGGAATTGATTGATTCAACTAAGGAAGGGCCAGCCCTGACTTTGCTATTATTTACAAGTTGCCTTGGAGATCCCTCATTCATAGTTAGTCACCATAAGTCAAAACTGACTTATTTAAGTCTTGTAAGCATTAACAAAAACAACACTGGATACACAGACTTGTGCAGTTTCCTACATGAAAAAGGTATCTGTCTGATTCCACAGTTTACAATCTGATATAGTTGATGAAGACCAGGATTTTATTTGGCAAACCAGAAATTCTGCAAATGTTTTGACAGCCTCCAAGCTTGTGAACATGCTTGGGTAATCTAAGAAGCAATGAGAGTCAGGTGTATACACTCATTTTCATTGAGCGCCACATCAGCCTTCTGGTTTCCTTCAAAAGGCTGTTGAATCTATGGATGGAGAATCCATGGATACTGAGGGCCAGCTGCAATTCTTTTACATAGTGGTTGGTGCTGTTTAGCCTTTACCCAGTTTGTGTCCCCAAATGTTATTGAATGACAACTCCCATCACTTTTGATTGCCCGTCATGTGGGCTGGGGATAATGCGAATAGCAACCCAACAGCACTTGTGGCTCTGAGGTTGGGTAAAGGTTAGAGGACATTTTAAAGCCAGGCATCATATCCACAAGCCATGTATTGACATTCAAATCCCACTATCCTGGCTAAACAAAACAAATTGCAGCCTTCCAGATGTTACTGTATTACAATTCGCATCAGCTCCAGTCATGATGTCTGATGGGAAATATAGAAGTTGTAGTCCATCATCTAGAGGGCCACATAAAATGATATGGGCTGGATTCGGCCCGTGGGCCTTGAGTTTGACACGTGTTTTAGTGTAGCAGAGTCCCTCTCCAAGGGCCCTTCCACACAACCATATATCCCTGAATATCAAGGCAGAATATCCCACAATATCTGCTTTGAACTGGTTATCTGAGTCCACACTCAGATAATGTGGGATTTTCTGCCTTGATATTCTGGGATATAGGGCTGTGTGGAAGAGGCCCAAGCTAGCTTCCCTGTACCAACCCTTAGACTTCCGTTTCTTACTTTTCCCTTTTACCTCCAAGTTCCCTCCTTAGATCTGGCACTCGGGCATTTAAGTATCTACTGCCCTGAACGAACAAATGTATTATGAGTGAGTTCAGTGTGGTAGCACATAATCAAATTCAGTTATTAAATCAGAAATAAAATATATCCAGACACAAAGGTTAAACAATAGAACAAACTCTTGCCAAGAAAAGCCTGCGATGAGTTTGCCTTGGGATTGGCATAGATCAGAAACAACTTGAAGGTACACAATAATAATAATAGCAATTATGTAATGTTAACAGAAGGCATGATGTAAATCTTCTATAATAATATTAATGGAATCTTTCCTGGCATGCCTGTTATTTAAGTACGGAGGCGGCCAAGTCTGTCCTATTCGAGTGTTATCCAAAGTCTTTGGGTGAGTTCCATCAGTTCCATCTAAAAAGCTGCAGTCACAAAAAGAAACCAAAAAAGGGTCTCATTTAGATATACTGTATATAGAGCGATATTTATGTTCTAGCTGGATAGGGCTTCTGATAATTGAAGGATGCTATTAACTTTTTCCAAACTAGATGTTATACCAATGTGTTATAAAAATAGAAGCAGATATATCACCAGTGACTGAAATGAAACAATAAATGGATAATTCCAATAATCTGGAGCAGAGGTTATATTTTTTTCAAGGACAAGATACAATGAATTCAAAGTATTCTTCAGATTAATGGTAACTAATTCCTAAAAATCACCTTTGCAAATTTTCAAGACTTTGAGTTTGCAAAACGGATGAAAATAGGCTGACTTGGGAGTCTCTCATTTTGGCGGTCACTGTAGATTTAGGTTGGCAGCAATTAGCAACAACAAAGTTAAACTTAAGATTCACATAATATCATTATTAATGTTTTTAAGAATCTGTGTTACTTGTCTTCAAAATGTTGAATTCATTTTGTATGTTATTTTGTGTGAAATCTTTTCAGAACATGCTTTTTAATACTGAACACAGGGGAAATGTAGCTACCTCTCTGTGATTCTGCCCCTAACAGTTAAGCCCACCTTCCTAAATAATATGCTATTTCAAATCAGTCTTGGTACTTTGTAAATTGTCAGAAAATCAGACAAATTTCCCTGTTTTATTGCATGTAATAAACATAAACACAAGAGCTGGACTGTATATTTAATTTAATTAAGCTAATGCTGTTGCTTTGCCATTTTAATTTTGCACATTGAGTAATATTTCTAGAACCAACATTGAGAGTCCACCAGGATTGATGCTCACTGTTTCTGCAATTCATTTCTCAATTTCCTGTTGAAAACCTATTAATGGTGCACTTTTCAAAGTGTATTTAGGTTTGTCATGGTTTCTAATGAGGTAGGATTATGATGCATTCCCTGACATGTGTCCATCTACACACAATTTGTGAATTCCTCCACGTGACACACCCTTCCCAGCCTAAAGAACTAACATATTAGAGGGAAGACTAAGGGCCCTTCCACTCAGCCATATAACCCAGAACATCCAAGGCAGAAAATCTCGCAATATCTGCTTTGAATTGGGTTATTTGAGTTCACACTGCCCTATATTCCAGTTCAGAGTAGATAATGTGGGATTTTATTCAATTGTGTGGAAGGGGCCAGAGATAGCTCCATCCCTCAAGCATGCCAACTTTCCACATACATATAAACATTTAATTTGGAACATTCGAATGTGTAATTTGCATTTTTGCACCTGCATTTTGAAATACAATATGCTAGGAGGACAGTTCCACAATACTATATCTGAATGTGAAGATCTGTTGTCTGAAGCACAGACTGCACGGAGTAGGAACCGATTGAAGATTTTGCAATCCCTAGCCTTCTTATAATAACCAGATTCCACAAAGTTTGGTTCAAGAACAGGGAACCTGTGCTCCTTGTTGGACTCCAGCTGTCTTCATCCTTGATCACTAGCTATGCCAGCTGATGAAGGGCCACTGGATCTCCATTCTTGCTAGACAGAAGCCCATACCTTCCAGAGTATAATCCTAGCTTTGCGTATCCTTAGTATTGATGGGCCTGTCTGTCGAAATCCTGCATCAAGATACCTTGCGCAGTTTATGGCTTTAGAAGAGTTGAATACTCAGAAGTTGTGCAAAGTAATCAAATATGCATAATTATCCCAAATTTGTATACCATATACAGGCAGTTCCCAAGTTACGAACAGGATTCTGTAGGTTTGTTCTTAAGTTGAATTTGTATATAAGTCAAAACAGGGACATTTTTAAGGTGTAACTCCAGCCAAATATAAAGCTTTGGATAGCATAGGGAAGGGCTAACACTGTTGTGGTGTTTGTTTTGCTGACTATGCCCCTGTTCAGAAGATTTCACCTCACTTTCTGTCCCTGTGAGAATTGAATTGAAAAATTTAGGTTATTGTGGAAACAAAGATTGGTGATAAAACTTCACTGGAAACATCTTTTGCCCATGATGACTCTTTCGGGAGTGAATTTCACTTCCAAGGGGTAGATTTCTCTCACTTCCTGTTATCTCACCCCTATTCTTAACTGTGAGTCATTTGTAAGTCAGATATTTGTAACTTGGGGACTGTCTGCATAGTCATGTATAAGGACCTAATCCCATTGATGAGGTCCTCCAGATTGATTAGCCAGCCTCTGTGAGAAATTGGGGGGCAACAAGGCAATCCCAGCACCCCACTCCCTGCCTCACCGGCAGCTGGCACTACCCTATAACACGTGGGGAAGTGTCACTGCACAGCTTCCCCCTGTGCTATCTCCATTGTTCCTAATGGAACTCGGGGAGGCTCCTGTATTGGTGGTACAGCATCGTAGAATGCTGCCACCCCAGTTGAGCCACAGAGCTCCGCCAGAAGTGAGGCTACGTCATGTGATGGGCAGTGTGGGGCTCCATGGCTCAACTGAGGCATAAGCGTCCTAAGATGCTGAAATTTCTTTCTGTGATGAGGTCACAAATTGACTTCATGTATTAGTCAAGGACCAGTTGGGTAGCCAAAATTTGGGAATTTGATAAGACCTGTGAATAAATTGGGACTTATTCCACAAAGAGGTGAAAACACCAATGCTGGCTTAGGATGCCAGCCCCCTCCCCTTGGTTGCTACTGCCATTTCCCTACCCAGGCATTTAAAAAGGACAGAACTGTTGCCACAGCAGAGAAAGTAGAGTGGACCGATGCTTTTTTTTTAGGTTCCCCTGGAACAGACTAAGCTCTTACCCCTTCTCACACTATTTGGAGAAGAGGATGGATCCTTTTTTGAAAAGAGTTTAGGTACAGTATTTACATTGACATGTGGATATGTCAGTCCAAGTTTTGGGGGCTGCCTTTTTGACTAAAATGTAGGACCTCATCACACTTACCAATTTAAGTGTCCTAGGATGCATGTCAGCCAGTTGAAGATAGATGGCCTGTCACACAATGTCCCTCAACTTCCGGTGGAGGCCCTGCCCCAATCCGACATAGAAGCGTCCTAGAACACTTCCTCATCAACACAGAAAAGCTCCAATGGACCCAACACACTTCTGCTCTGGTTGGGTGATGCTTCCCCCGTGTGGAAGCATCTCCACTCCACACCACCTCCTCCACCTGCACTTTCGCCATGCTTGCTAGCAAAACAGCACGGAGGGCATGTGATAAGGTCCTTTTACATGAGTGCATAGGGTAATTCTGCTTTTGCAGAGAAGGAGAAATAAGTCGTGTTGAGCACTTCCTCACACACACACACCCTGTATGGCTTTGGAAACTTTATCTAAGCGTAACTTCTTAGTTGATTTTTTTTAATGTACCTGAAGGAAGCGAAAGAATGCAGCCAATATGGTATTTCATTCTTTTGCTATATGTGCTTCTGCCTATAAAACAAACATAACAAAAGAAGAACGAGGAAGAGATTTTATTCTAAATGGTTTCCTTCAATTTAAGATGCAGTTAAAAATGAATGCATTTTAAGTTGGTTGGAGTTCAGAACATAACATGTTTTTGATACATCTATATTTTTCTTTATAGTAATCCCTTTTTGAACACAACATTTACATTGCAAGGATGTAGTAATAAATTGCATTGGGGTTCCTTGTGTGCTGAGCGTTTTGCAATTTAATTTTGTTTGTTTTTCTTTTGCAAACTCCTTGAAAATGTGTAGCTATCAAGTGTCTTACGCATTCATGACTTGCTTTAGGTCTAAGCAATTTATAGCTGTGTTGTGCTCCGCAGAGATGCATCAGAGTACTCATACGCAGAGTGAAAGTGCCAGTTTTCATTTGCCCAAACTATCTTGCTTTTTCATGTCAGTAATCTTTGTTTTTACAATTTAATAGTGAGCATCATAACTCAGCAATGTGTCTTTACTCTGAAATAGGCCACATCTAAAGTATATCAGCTAGTTGCAGCCAAACTCTCAAGGTTCCTTCTAATGTCTAGAAGTGGACTTTTTCGTAGAATAATTAAAAATGACATTAATGGCAAATCATAGGATGCTTGCTTGGTGATGTACTAAATCAAAGCCTTTGTCAGTTTGCTGCAAATAGCATTTTATTAATGGAGGTAATGCTTGTTATTGGCTTCAATGCGCATTGTAGCTTTGTGTATTTTGTCTGCCTGTTATGCACAGGAATTCAAGCCTATTGGCACAGCTCACAACCGGAAAGCGCAGCCTTTTGTTGCGGCAGCAAATCTGGATGACAAAAGGCAGGTGGTGAGTTCTGCCTATAACTCCCCAATTGGGCTGTATTCCTCTGGCAATATACACGATGCTCTCCATGGACAACTGCGGGGTCTGATGCCAAATGCCGCTGAAAGGTAAGTACCGCGTTGTACATTTTTTGCAGTTCTTGTTGTTGCAACAGCTGTATTGCTTCTGTTTCGTGCTCTTCTAGTCCAGCTCTTGCTGTTTTCCTCTTTTTCTGATGTCCAGAACCTCAGAAATGCTCTGGAACATAGTTACCTTCATGTTCATATTACTCATATTGGCAAGATGGAGATGATGGATATTTCTCTACTAGAGGGTTGGCTATACAATGAATCCCATGTTTATGTCCTACTGAGCACAACACAAAAAACTATATAGTGAAATTGATGTCTGCAAACTCACGGGAATTAATTTGACACGCATCTGACTACACATGGGATCATGGGGCAAGTTGTGTTGTCGAAGACTTTCATGGCCGGAATCACTGGGTTGCTGCGAGTTTTTTGGGCTGTATGACCATGTTCCAGAAGCATTCTCTCCTGGCATTTCACCCACATCCATGGGTGTGAGGGCCTCACAAGCTCTGAGGATGCCTTCCATAGATGTGGGTGAAACATCAGGAGAGAATGCTTCTGGAACATGGCCATACAGCCTGGAAAACTCACAGCAAACCATGGAGCAAGTTATTTAATTCTAAGTATATTACTCAGATGTAAGTCCTACTAGGTCTTTACTCTCTCCTATACGTATGTTTGGCTTGATTCTATTTATCCTCTCTTTTCCACAATAACAACTTTTGTTTTACTCCTGCTACTATACAACTTACAACTCAATAATTTGTGATCTGTTTGTTAACTAATTTCTAGGAAGAAACCTACAGGTTAAAGAATTCTTTGGTAATCCTTTCCTTTTCTTTACAGGATATGGGCTACTTTGAACACAAGCATAATATTCGGCCCAAACCTTTCATAGTCTCAGGCCCAAGCAGGTTATAAAATCTCTCTGTAACGAGTTGCATGTTGTTTTCAATGGCTACTCACAGTTCAACTCAAAACAGTAACATGGCTACTTTAGTATGTCGTAAAGCCTTCTAATGACTAAAATGTGTGCTTTATAACATATGTAAATCTAAAATCAAAACATCATCCCCAAAACATGGTTCTTACATCATTGAATATACTGGTTTGATCACATCATTTTGCCAAGTACTAATATTTCCCAAAACTAATTAATTTAATAAATAGAACACTAGAAGACATATTAAGGTGACATATTTACAAGGACCAGCAGAAGTTCCTACACCAAGGCTGTGTGACAATATTGACAGATATGGCTTGTAGCAGAGGCTAGAAGAAGCTTGTTACAACTCCTGGAATCCTTCTGTTAATGAAAAAATCGGGGTGTTCTGGTCCAGAAACAGCATTTGCAAGTACTACTGGTGGGTAATATATTGAGTTGCATGATAGGTCTGAAATCGTGGAAGGTAGGTAGGTAGGTAGGTAGGTAGGTAGGAAGGAAGGAAAGAAGGAAAGAAAGAGAGAGAGAGAGAGAGAGAAAGAAAGAAAGAAAGAAAGAAAGAAAGAAAGAAGAAGGAAAGGAGGAAGGAAAGAAATAAAGAAGAAAGGAAGGAAAAGAAGGAAGGAAGGAAGAAGGAAAAAGGAAGGAAGGGAAAAAGGAAGAAGGAGAGGAGGAGGAAGGAAGAAAGAAGGAAAAGAAAGAAGGAAGGAAGGAGGAAGGAAGGGAAGGAAGGAAGGATGGAAGGAAGGAAGGAAGGAAAGAAGGAAGGAAGGAATGAGGAAAAAGGAAAGAAGGAAGAAATAAAGAAGGAAGGAAGGAGGAAGAAGGAAGAAAAAGAAGGGAGGAGGAAAGGAGGAAGAAGGAAGAGGAGAAGAAGGAAGGAAAAAAGAAGGAAGGAAAGAGGAAGGAAGAGGAAGAAGGAAAAAGGAAGGAAGGAAGAAAGGAAAGAAAGAAGAAAGAAGGAAGAAAAGAAAGAAAGGAAGGAAAGGAAAGAAGGAAGGAAGGAGAAGAAGGAAAGAAAGAAAGGAAGAAAGAAAGGAAGACAGGAATGAAGGAAGAAAGAAAGGAAGACAGGAATGAAGGAAAAAGGAAGGAAGGGGAGGAAAGAAAAAAGAAAAGAAGGAAGGCAGGAAGGAAGGAAGGAAAGAAAGAAAAAAGAAGGAATGAAGGAGGAAAGGAAGGAAGGAAAAAAGAAAGGAAGGAAAGAAGGAAGGCAGGAATGAAGGAAAAAAGAAAGGAAGGGAGGCAAGCAGGAAGGAAGGGAAGGAAGGCAGGCAGGCAGGCAGGCAGGCAAGCAAACACACTGGACTTTTAAAGGTTAACTGGAATAGCTGGTTTGACCATTGAGCAGAAAGAAAAAAAACAGAGCAAGCAGTGGATGCTTGAGGGATATTTATTTATTTATTTTTGTCATGTCTTTCTCCTGATGGCAGCTAACAATAAGTACAAAACAATGCAAAGACATTAAAATATACAATCCAAATAATGATATGAAAACTATTAACATTAAAATGTTAAAATTGTATTAAAAGCTTATCCCCTCCTTAAAATCCCAATCACACCACCATTAAAGGTAGTTTATACATGCTTGATGACAAGAAGGGATGGGGCCATCCTGACCTCTCTAGGGAGAGAACTCCATGTTTCTGTATTTTAAGGACGGAGCTTTGTGTGTCACCCAGCCCATCTTCCCAGCCCTGAAAGAATCAGCTGCACTGAGCTTTTAGTGTTGTTGAAACATATTCATCTGCCAATCTACTCCATTTCTCCTCCGGCAGCAGAGCATCTCGACTTGTCATACTATCTCATGGAACTTTATTGCCCCAGGAGTTAACTAAAACAAGAAGAGAAAACATTTTGGTGGAATTTAAGAAACAGAAGGAATACAATCTGATCGAAATGTTTCTGCCCATCTCAGATTCTTTACTTGTATGAGTCTATATCATATGTGACCTGAGGACTAATATTGATATTGCACTCAAACTTAAGAGAAAGTTTGTCAAATCAACGATGGTTTGCCATATATAACAATCTGAGAACCCGTATTCTCATTTTGTTTCTCTTTGAGTCAAATTATGAAAAAAAAAGTGAAAAAAAGACTAATGAGAAAAGAAGGCTATAATTGTGAACGAAGCATTGCGTTTACCTAGCAAATATAATATTTGCTGCTGGCAGGCATTTGAAATAATCTTGCTAAATGAACTCCCCACTTCCACCTCCTTTTCTCTCTGACACCAATTGTGTCCTATTACATATATCAACCCCTGTAAGTAGCTTTTTAACTCTGTGCCTGATCTTTTGCTGTTAACGCTCACTTTACTGACCAGCTTCTGAAGATGGTTTTATTCCTGAGCAACAGTGTGTGTGGTTGTATGGCTCTCCCCTTGTAGGGATATTTGGCTGAGTGTTCTGGCATCTGTAAAACGGGCTGCATAGTTGTGTTGGAGCATGTGAGACTCTTCTGGGATTCTTTGACTTGCCTTTGATGGTAAGGAATGTGCATTTCTTAAATAGTCTCTTCCCTGAGGGAAGGTAACGTTGTGTTTTGAGGATGACATTTCATACAAAGCCAGAAAAAGCTTACGTTAAACTTTTTCTGGCTAATATTTAGGTTATATAGCAATAGTAAATACTTAAAATTGAATTACAGTAATAACAAGTCACGTTTTGTGGATGTCTGAGACTTCGGATTGCTATCATTATCTGCAGTCATTGAAAGCCGTAAGATAGACATTTGGTTTCACGTTGTCCAAAAATTTGGCATCCGCCAAAGGTTAAGGTCCTGCTGAAAGCGGATATAGCATTATGCTACGGTGATAAAACTCTACAAGACTGCAAGGAAACTAAGGTGTTCAGATGGGTGCAGGGAGGATAGGACTGTGTAAAGAGTACTTACACAAGTTAGTATGACATCCAACTACTATCTAGTTATGCAAGCAGAAATCACAAATAAGAGCCTGGCCTAGATTATAATTTTCTGCACACTTCCCTTAGAGTAAACCCTACTGAAACCCATAAGCATGCATGGGATTGTAGAAAAATATCACAGATATTCCTGCTTAATTCAGAAGTCAGTCCCATTGCAATCTTGTTCAGGAATAAAAATGTGTAAGGAAATATTTACACTGCAATTCTAGAGTATGTTATGCAGAACTAAGCCTCCTTATCTCTGTTGTGGAGATAGTGCTGAGAAATAAATTCTCATCCTTAGAGCAGCTTCAGGTATTATGTAGTGGCAAACTACATATTTGGGGGGGGGGGCAGGACAGGTTTTTGGGACTAATGTCCCCATAACTATAAAACAACTTGCAAGCTAGTGTTTCTGAGAGTTGTGATTCCAAATGTCAATATCTGTCCTAGAGGTTATTGGCATTGTAGGAGGCCAACTTTCCTATGACTTGACCATAAGCAGCCTATTATCTTCTAGCATAAAAAGGTTTTTAAGCAGTGATGTCCAACGTTTGGTCCTCCCAAGTCTTTTGGACTTCAGCTCCCAGAATTCCTGACCATTGGACAAGCCAGTCAGAGCTTCTAGAAGCCAGTGTCCCAAACACATGGAGGACCAGCAACTTTGTGTCAGGGAAGAAATGAAGCCTTCACTTCCTTTAAGTACAGTAGAGTCTTGCTTATCCAACATAAATGAGCCGGCAGAACGTTGGATAAGCGAAAATGTTGAATAATAAAGAGGGATTAAGGAAAAGCCTATGAAACGTCAAATTATGTTATGATTTTACAAATTAAGCACCAAAACATCATGTTTTACAACAGAACAGCAGAAAAAGCAGTTCAATACACTTTTTTTCATGTCAGGAGCAACTTGAGAAACTGGAAGTCGCTTCTGGTGTGAGAGAATTGGCCGTCTGCAAGGATATTGCCCAGGGGATGCCCGGATGTTTTGATGTTTTATCATCCTTGTGGGAGGCTTCTCTCATGTCCCCACATGGGAACTGGAGCTGATAGAGGGAGCTCATCTGCGCTCTCCCCAGATTTGAACTCCGACCTGTCAGTCTTCAGTCCTGCCGGCACAAGGATTTAACTCATTGCTCCACCATAACGTTATGTAGTAATTACTGTATTTATGAATTTAGCACCAAAACATCGTAATGCATTGAAAACATTGACTCCCTAGAGCAGGGGTCCTCAAACTAAGACCCGAGGGCCAGATACGGCCCTCCAAGGTCATTTACCTGGCCCTCGCTCAGGGTCAACCTAAGCCTGAAATGATTTGAAAGCACACAACAACAACAATCCTATCGCATCAGCCAAAAATAGGCCCACACTTCCCATTGAAATACTAATAAGTTTATATTTGTTAAACTTGTTCTTCATTTTAATTATTGGATTGTTTTAAAGTGGTTTTTTTTGCACTACAAATAAGATATGTGCAGTGTGCATAAGAATTCATTCATTTTTTTCAAATTATAATCCGGCCCTCCAACAGTTTGAGGGACTGTGACCTGGCCCTTTGTTTAAAAAGTTTGAGGACCCCTCCCCTAGAGGAACAGCTGTGGATCCAGGTGGGAGGCAGACTGCGTTCGATAATACAAAACGTTGGATGAGCAAAGGTTGTATAAGTGAGACTGTACTGTATTCAGGAACAGTGATAAAACTGAAAATAGACCTTTTAGCATAAAAGTTAGGTGATATCTGAATTCATCGAATATCAGATGAAGACACATTTTTTTCTATCAGGATAAGTTAGTACCATCAAGGAGTTCCCAGCAAAAAAAATATGATAGTGTTGACCATAAATATTGCAGTCTTTCTCATACCTACCGTAAATATTTAAATTTGGAAAGTCTGTGTTTAGAAATTGTGAAAGCATGCATCCTTTGTCAATTTGGAATAAATGCAAGAAAATGCATTTAGACATGTCTGAATAGTTTGTATGGCATCATAAAAATCATAAGCATCTTTAACTTCCATCCAGTTGTAATGGTACACCGGTGCTTCGAATGGATTGGTACCTACCATTAAAACAGTGCATTGTTAGAAAACAGATTACTCTGGTGTTACTAAAGTGTTATGACAGCATCAAAAAGATATACTGGCACTATGGAATGGATAATTTAGAAGAAAGTGTGTCAATATCATTAAAAATTATTGTGATGTTTTCTACATGGCAATAGACGTTTAACGTCTTAATTTCCTTCTGATGCTGATTGAGAATTTCAGTGTAGTTGAGTCAGCAATATACGTTGTACCTCAAAATCATTATGAGCCAGATTTTAACACAATTGGAAACACAGGACATTAGATACAATAATTATAATTTTAATAAATTCATAATTATATGCAGAAGGCACAGAGAAAGTCTAAATATTGGATCCGATTTTAATTTTCTTGCATTTTGTTCATTTGCTTGCGTTGCTCTTGCAACTCTTGTTCTTCATTTCTGGGTTTCTCTCCGGTTTGCATCACCTGTTTCTCCTGTACTGGTTTTTGGCACAGTGTATGCAGTACTCCTTCTGGTTTTGATGGCGGCAGCGGACGTAGCACCCCTTCGTCAGTTAGCACTGTTAGCACTATTTGTCCTACTGAGTTGAAAGCGGCAGCTAAGATGGCCCCCAACATTCCCTTAGAAATGGAACTTCCCGGTGTCAAGATTGTACACGCTCAGTTTAACACTCCCATGCAGTTGTATTCAGATGACAATATTATGGAAACGCTGCAAGGGCAGGTTTCTACCGCACTGGGGGAAGGAAACCCACAAAGGTAATTGTGGCCACTCTCTGTGCTTGTCCTGTCTCCTAATGCATGGATAATGCTGCCAGTATTAGTTCTGCGCTTCATTCGTCATTGGGCTTTTAAATATTAAGATGTGAGTCGTTATGGCTTCTAAATAGTGCCGCATTCCTGAAAATGTTGTCAATGCCATTCTTGACATTCATTTCAATCCAATATGATTTAGCATAAGAATGTTTAATAGAAGACATAGTGTGGATATGATATTTTTTTACTTTACTTGACTCTGTTCAATTTACTCATTTCTTCACATTTGTGTTAAAAAACGTACATAGTTTCAAACAGTAGGTGATTTATTATTTTCGTATCAAAAGCATTGCATAAATTAGTCAAAACCAATAAAAATAGAAGGAGCAAAGTAGCTAAATATCTTTTGACCAAAAACGGGCAACAGCAGTGGCATTGTCTGTAGCCTCCAACAATTCTTCCTCTGTACATGAGGCAGGGCATAGCAGACAAGCATACAGATGTGGAGTTGTCAGGTGATGAGAGCATATATTAGAAGAACCTCATCTCATTTAGCATTCTCTAAGCTCTGAAGACATCAGAAGCAATGTAGGATTGGTCCATGGATGGGAAACCACCAACAAATACCAGTTGTTCTGGGCTACATTTCAGAAGAAGGAACTGGTAAAGCCACCTAAGTATTCTTAGACTTTGAAATTAGTTTCCATAAGTCAACAAGTGAATTGAAGGAGCACACACACACACACACATATATAGGCCCCTAAACTTCATCACCTTTAAGTCCTTCCTTCTATAGCAGTGGTTGTCAACCTTCGTAATACACGACCCTTTAATACAGTTCCTCATTGTATTGTCGAAGGCTTTCATGGCCGGAATCACTGGGTTGTTGTAGTTTTTTTCGGGCTATATGACCATGTTCTAGAGGCATTCTCTCCTGACGTTTCGCCTGGCAAGCATCCTCAGAGGTAGTGAGGTCTGTTGGAACTAGGAAAAAGGGTTTATATATCTGTGGAAAGACCAGGGTGGGACAAAGGACTCTTGTCTGCTGGAGCTAGGTGTGAATGTTTCAACTGACCGCCTTGATTACCCTCCTGACAGTTTCAACAGAAAGGAGGAAACCATGAAGATGAACAAAATCTGGCTACCAGTATTAAAAAAAAACTCTAAAATTAAAACAGCAAAACAGCAGAGGGAAAACAATCAGGGACATCTAATCACCTCTCAACAAAAGATTGCTCCAGGCACTGCCAGGCCATCAAATGCTAATCAAGGTGGTCAGTTGAAACATTCACACCTAGCTCCAGCAGACAAGAGTCCTTTGTCCCACCCTGGTCATTCCACAGATATATAAACCCATTTTCCTAGTTCCAAAAGACCTCACTACCTCTGAGGATGCTTGCCATAGATGCAGGCGAAACGTCAGGAGAGAATGCCTCTAGAACATGGCCATATAGCCCGAAAAAACCTACAACAACACAGTTCCTCATGTTGTGGTGACTCCCCCCCCCCATTACGTTCGTTGCTACTTCATAACTGTATTTTGCTACTGTTATGAATCGTAATGTAAATATCTGATATGCAGGATGTATTTTCCTTCACTGGACCAAATTTGACACAAATACCCAATATACTCAAATTTGAATAGTAATCACCATCACACAACTTTGTATATATACTAGTTTTTATTAAGGTTTTAAAAATAACATCGAAAGAGGGAGAATATTAAAAAAGATGATAGGAAAGTAGGAAAAAAGTAAGAAATACATCCCCCTACCCCCAAGTCCACCAAAAAAATACAAAAATATAAAAGCCACACAAAATAAAAAAAAAGGGAAAAAGAAAAAAAAAGAAAAGAAAAAAAGAAGAAAAAAAAGTATAAAATAAAAATTGACTTCCATCTCTCCATCAGGTGTTGTGTCCTCAATGATATTTCCATTATATCCACTTCATAATATTCCTCTTATTTATTTATTTCCTTTTCGTAATTTTCATATAGAGTCCAATCTGTCCTCTTTATCGGGTTCCCGGTATTCTTTTTCAAGAAAAAAGTTAATTCTTTGGGTTTTGGAGTTGTAGTTCACCTACATCTGGAGAGCAGTGTGGACTCAAACAATGATGGATCTGGACCAAACTTGACACAAATACTCAATATGCACAAATGTGAACAGTGGTGGATTTTGGAGAAAATAGACCTTGACATTTGGGAGTTGTAGTTGCTGGGATTTATAGTTCCCCTACAATCAAAGAGAATTCTGAACTCCACCAATGACAGAATTCGGCCAAACTTCCCACACAGAACCCCCATGACCAACAGAAAATACTGTGTTTTCTCATGATTTTTGAAGAGCCTTCTGACACCCCCTTGTGACCCCTCCAGGGGCCCCGACCCTGAGGTTGAGAAACTCTGTTCTATAGTAAGAAACAAAGTTGTCCAAGATACTGTACATGCTGTTTCCCTTTTGGTTACTGAACTTTAAATTCACATATAAGCAGTGCCCATGTTATGAACAAGATAGGTTCTGTATGTTTGTTCTTAAGTTGGATTTGTATGTAAGTTGGAATAGGTACATTTTTAGTGAAACTCTACTCCCATATCTCTCTCTCACACACACATACAGAGAGAGAGAGAGAGCACTTTGGATAGCATAGGGTAGAGTTAACACCCCCGTGGTGTTTGCTTTGCCATCTGTGACCCTGTTAAGAAGATTCCACCTCAATTTCTGTCCCTGTGACAATTGGATTTTGAAAAATTTGGTTTATTGTGGAAACAAAAATCGGTGAGAAAGTTTCAGTAGAGACCCCTTTTCCCATGATCACTCTTGCAGGAATGAATTTCTCTTCCTAGGGGTAGGTTTCTCTCACTTCCTCTTTTCTCAGCTCCGTTCTTAACTATGAGTCATTTGTAAGTCAGATGTTTGTAACTTGAGTACTTCCTGTATTTGAAAACTTTGTGTTTCTGCTGTTTTGTCAAATCTGATTTATGTTCCCCTTTTAAATTTGTCATTAGCTAAGCCATGAAAAGTCTAGACATAATATGTCTTTGTCAGAAAAACATCTGACTTACAAATGGATATGAACTAGGAACAAAAGTGTAGATAACCCAATATTGTGCTAATCTAGTAGAAAATTAACATCTTAAACCAGAAAACGGACACTAACGAACTTGCTTAATTGTGGATGTGATTCTGTGAGATACTTCGTAAGTGTCCTGACTTTATCCATTCTGGAATCCTGGAATGAACACCCATTTATCAAATTACAAGTATGAGCAAACATGCTTTTAGGAACCATTCCAGAAAAAAAAAAAGGACTGAGATGTCTCTTGATGGAGTTCATTTTCACAAGGCATAAGCTTGGAATTGCTGTCTTACTGCCCTGGAGTATTTTGTGTCTAGTAACTAATACCACCCCTAAGGCTCTTATGAGACATCCCAATGGCCTTCAACATGACTATTCATTATATTAAACACAAGCTAAAGTGAGTCTCAGATTTCTTTTAGAAAGCAATTAAAAGATCTGCCATTTGTATTTATAGATTACAGTAAATATATTTTAAAATCAGGTTTGGAAAAGTTACTTTTCGGGAATCATCCTTAACAGTAAATTCTCCAATCTCTTTTCAAAGGCTATTTTATTTCATGACCAGCTAACACCTCCCAACAAAGGATTCCCTCAGGCGGGAGGCAGCCAGACTTTGAAGCTGCAAGGCTATTCAATGCTAATCAAGGTGGCCAATGGCAATATTCACACTTGCCTCAAACAGACAAGAGGTCTTTCTCCCACTCTGTACATTCCACAGATATATAAACCTCACTTGCCTAGTTTCCAACAGTCCTCACAACCTCTGAGGATGCCTGCCATAGATGTGGGCGAAACGTCAGGAGAGAATGCTTCTGAAACATGGCCATACAGCCCGGAAAACTCACAGCAACCCAACTATTTTATTTGTTACTTAGATTTATCTTTAAAGGGATGCAACCACCCTGGTTAGGGAGATCGCAATTGGTGACAAAGCCTTCTATGTTGGTGCTCCATCTCTAATGTGTACTCTCTTTAGAAATGACCCTTGGTTGACTTATCTCATGCTACTTATCTAAAGAACTCAGTGGGACTTAAATCTGAGTAAACTTATATAGGAGTACAGGATTTAAATCCAAGTTTCTTTGACTCAAGGAATGTAAAGTCTGCTGCTGCTGCTACTGCTTTTGACTTCGGGAGTGCTAATTGTTTTTATTTGTCTTATATTTATTTTTCTTAAAACGAGCTTGTTTGACATTTTGTTTTGTGAACTGCTTTGAACAAAAGCCGAGGAAAGACAGCATTAATGGAACGATCTTGGGGCTTGGGCAGACTATAGTTGTTGTCACTCTAACAGCACAGGAAATATCCTGGGGAAAAGGTTAATCTTCAACCGTTGCACATACAAAACATGCAACAATAGGAAGTCAGAGTATCTAAAGTTCACAGTTGGAACTCCAGCTTTCAGGCACTGTAGAACTTGCTCTATAGTTGTCTACAGCAGAGTACATTGTGACTGTGCCCAACAAAATTATGTCTTGGAAAAACAGATGTGGATGACTGTTTCTTAAACAAATGCTCCCTCCTCCAATAGAGCATAGTTTGGTCCATATTAAAAAAAAGTATTTGTATTTGTTATAAGGTATTAGGAGGAGGGAAGTCTTGTTATTTTCATGCTCCATTCAAAAAACAGTTGAAAATTCCATTGAGAAAGATCAAACCATTCATTACAATAGGTTTTTGGATCTTATTGTGCAAAAGGGAGAACATACTGTGGTTTATAAAGGTCATCTGAATAAATGTATTCTCTGCATTAATAACTGACATATTGTTGTTTCCCTTCTTCCCTTCTGCATTGAGTAACCATCGTTTTTTCATCTCTTCCACTGACTTTGCAGTGACCCAGTGCCAGCTGCAGTGCCGCAGTCGGATGTTTACAGGATGCTCCATGATGACCATCAAGGAGCTAGTCAGCCGCGCCAGTCTGGTTCCTTTAAAGTGCTCCAAGACATGGTCTCTGAAGAGTCTGGTTAGTTGCAGTTTTCCTACCTGTCTTCATATAGGTTGTGAGCATAGCATGTCTAGAAGAGAACCTATCTGAAACCAAACACATTTAGGTAAGGTTAAGATAGGAGAGCACTGGGCAACTACATGCCTATCATCTTGAGATCCATAATAGCAGAATCATGAGATACAGTAGACCTGCTTGTATGCAGGCTGATTGAACATAGTTTCAGCAATACACAAAGGAATCATGCTGGAGGACCTAGTAATGCCCAGAGAAGTGTTCTCTCTGGTCCTCCAACATGATTCAAAGGTCAACTTCCACCAGAAAGTGGACAGCTGCTGCTTGGTTCAGTGAATTCTGCAACCACAAGATCATGGTGGTTGTCAGTTCCTAGCTTTCTGATTTTCAGATCCTTTGGTTGGGGCTACCTAACAATATGCCCTCCAAACCTACCTAAGAGATAGGTTTGGAGGGCATATTTGGTCATTAATAAGCGTAAACATTAATCCTGTAAGTTTTGAGATCGTAAGTACAGCTTCTTGTTGTTGTTGTGTGCCTTCATGTTTAAATATTTGAAAAGATGTCATAAGGAAGAGGGAGCAGACCTGTTTTCTGCTGCCCTGGAGACTAGGACTTTTTTTCCAATGGGTTCAAATTGCAGAAAAGGAGTTTCCACTTGAACATTAGGAAGAACTTCCTGATTGTAAGAACTGTTCAACAGTGAAACTTTGCCTCAGAATGTGGCAGAGGTTGGATGGTCATCTGTCCGAGGTACTTTGTGTTTTTCCTGCATGGCAGGGAATTGGACTAGATGGCCCATGTGGTCTCTTCCAACACTGTGATTCAGATCATTTTTGACTTAAGAGACCTTCAGATAAACTTATCATAGGGATTTCTAACCTTAAGGGAGTGTGTGGCTCCAGTAAGGTTATCCAGTAAGTTTCCATGGCCAAGTGAGGAATTGAACCCTGGTCTCCTGAGTCATAACCCAACACTCAAAGCACTATGCCACTTTGGCACTACACAATCTTCAATCCATTACACCACACCGGTTACGATTTCATAAATATTAGCCAGAATGCCAACAAAGTCCTAAACATTTATTTCTCAGAATGTATTAATACTGTAAGACTCTATGTTGTCTTGCAAACAAGAGTGGCATATCTTCTTCTCTTTCAGACGGGAGGCCCGTTGGTACAAGGAGTGTCAGAGCACCAGTAACAAAGATGGCTGCTGGTGGGGGAAGTGTACCCAAAGTGCCTTTGTGTGACAAGTGTGGAAATGGAATTGTGTAAGATATTTTATTTATGTTAAATAGAGTCATAGCATAAATACATATGTAGAATAGCTCACATTAAGCTAGTGAAAAAAAAATAGATGAGATTCATCTTTCTTTGGTAAACAGCTTTTTTTTTTTTTTTGGTCATGCATTTTGTTGTACTTTTTATACAAAAAGGCTAACACACAATTGATAAAACAAGACCATTCCATCCCATATATTTACAATAAGAAATGAAAATGAAAAGAAAACAGGAAGAGGGAAGAAGTAGAAAGCAAAGTCGGGCACTAATTCTTAAAAGATACTTTACAAATCAAACATTTAAAAATAATAAATTATTGCTTTGTATTATGCATTTTAATCCATTGACTTCATTTTAAAAGTACGTTGATTTTTAAAAAGCAGATGGTTTGTGAAAGGAGTGTAAATAATATCTGCATATCATATGTTACTCTTAAGTAACATTGTGAAGTTTATTGGTTTTGCTTTCTCCTCTTGGCTCCTGCTAAAGTTTAGCCTCAGTGGGGTGCCAGAGTGGCTGCGATATGGCATGGGATCAAGCGAGAAAGATTGAAGTTCACTTAGTGCTGTGCATTAATTAGTGAACGCATAGCTTCTTGGATCATATGCAAAAAAAGATCCGGTAGCACTGTAGGGACTAAGACAGGACTTCTTAAACTTTTTTGACTCGCAACCTCTTCCACCCAAGAAATTTTCATGTGACCGCAGGTTTAGGTATAGAAAATAGGTTAAAAAATCAAACACCTATGGTAATAAATACCATTTGCAAGTCATAATAATAATAATAATAATAATACTTTATTTGTACCCCGCTACCATCTCCCCAAGGTACTCGGTGGGGCTTACATGAGGCCAAGCCCACAGCACATCAATAAACAAAGGCGATAATAAATAATCAATACAAACAGTTAAATGCTAAATGGGTGGATTTTCCTTTTTATTAAGTTCTAGCTTGGGTACCCATCAATGCCTGGATTATTTGAAAAGGGATTTTTTTTTTGTTTTTGGATGTTAGGTAATATCAGTTCGGTAATTTGTACTGCTATTTTTTGTAACGTTAATACTTTCTGTGTGTAAACCGCCCTGAGTCCATTTGGGGAGATAGGGCAAGTTATAAATAAAGTATTATTAGTCATAATAACAATAACAATAAGATTTATTTATACCCCACCCCCCTCTCCCCAAAGGGACTCTGGGCAACTTACAACAATCAATAGATACAGTAAGTCATATAGCAATTATTATTTGATACACAAGAGTAGTACACGGCAAACAAGATCATTATGCTGGCTTATTTGATCTTTTCTTCTTCTTATTGTTGTTATTATTTATTAGGAAATTATTATTTATTTATTAGCAAGTATTATTTATTAGGAAAAAGTTGGTCTCTGCTTTTTTTAAATGAATGCTCCCATTAGAAAATGCATAAGGATATGGGTGAACTGCAATTCCCAAAAATTCAAACTTAGCCACGTTGGGTCTGTGTGCCAAGTTTGATCCAGATTCAGTTAACAGTACTCTCTGGATGTAGGTGAGCTACAACTCCTATATATCCCCCCAACCGCCTACCGTATTTTTTATTGGTCATGAGGGATCAGTGTGCTAAGTTAGTTCCAGGTCCATCATTAGTGGGATTCAGAGTTCTCTTTGACTGCAGGTGAATTATAAATTCCAGTGCCTACAACTCCTATACGTCAAGGTCAATCCCTCCTCCAAACCCCTCCAGTATGTTTTGTTGTTCAAGAGGGTTCTGTGTGCCAAATGTGGCCCAGGTCCATTGTCTGTGCAGGATAAACTACAACTTCAATCATGTTGAATCAGTCCCCTAAACCCCTCCAGTATGTTCAGTTGCCAATCAATTTTTCTCTGTTTGCTGTGTGCCATTGAGAAGAGGAAAGGTTATGGCAGAGGCAGTGGGCAGGAACATGCAAATTCCACACCAACGGAGAGAGTAAGAAACACTAAGATGTCTGTGATGGAGGAAACACGTAAAATCTAAGATGGAATTGTCCCCATATAAAAGCCTTCACTGGGGTGGTGGGTAGTATGGCGTTTGTGGAGGACATTGGCAGCGCTCTTGTACATGTTTACGGCGCTCACTATAACCTGCAATGTCATTGGATAGAAGGCCTTTCGTGTCCCCTGAGTAGTGGGAGCAATAGCTGTTTGTGGAGACAGGAGCTTGTCTGTGTAAGTGGACACCCCAGCCACACACACATATATGTTTTCACT